AGAGCCCTGGAGGGCTGCAGTGGCTGGTGAAGGGCCAGGTGGGGAGGGGGTGCAACAGGGAGCAGCCCCTCTCTTCTCCCCCAGCCCGGCTCCTTGCCCAGGCGGGGGAACAGGACAAAAGTTTGACAACAGGAGCGTGTCCCTGTGGCTCTGGTCTCAGCTGGGCTTCACCCCAGCCCCTGTTGCACTGCCGGGGAGCAGCTCAGTGCCCTCATGTTGGAGCCCCCGCCAGCACTCCAGCTCCCAGCATGGCTGTGCCTATTGTGTGGCTTTGGGATCCCCCTGTCCTGCATGTGGCCTTGCATGTGGCTCCATCCCTGTGTATGTGCAGGGCAGTGGGGGGCATGGGCACAGCCGCCTCCTCCCACTCACCTCAGCTGTGCTTGTAGGTGGCCAGTGTGCGGAAAACCACGGTCCTGGATGTGATGAGAAGATTGCTGCAGCCTAAAAACGTGATGGTGTCTACAGGGCGAGACAGGCAGACCAACCACTGCTACATTGCCATCCTCAACATCATACAGGGAGAGGTTGATCCCACGCAGGTGAGCTCCCACACCCTTGCAGCTGCCCATGGCAATGGCATGGCCTGCCAGAGAAGGACAAAGTCACCATCTAGCCCTGGGGTGAGGCTGAGTGGTGCCTGAGAACGGGTTCCAAGTTGCTTTTATGGGCCCTGGCCTCATGGAAAGGCCACTAGTCCCTTGCAGTGAGGAGCCTCCCTGCCTGATGTTGGCTGAAATCCCACTTCCCAGAGCCATGTGAGGAGCAGCTGCTGCCCCTTGCTCTCATCCCACCAGGTTCACAAGAGTCTGCAGCGGATCCGGGAAAGGAAGCTGGCCAACTTCATCCCCTGGGGTCCTGCCAGCATCCAGGTGGCTTTGTCCCGCAAGTCCCCTTACCTGCCCTCTGCACACCGTGTCAGTGGCCTCATGATGGCAAATCACACCAACATCTCCTCGGTGAGCACCTGTCCTCTGTGTTGTGGCCACTGTGCCAAAATCCTGTTGGTCCCAAACGTGTCTTCTCCAGGGGTGTCCCACAGCCATGGCAGAGCCTGTGGATGAGGGGAGGGTGGGGAGGTCCCAGCTGGGGCACAGCCAGGCTGAGCTCTGCTTTGAGGTCCTGTTCTCCCTGGTGCTGGCTGCAGCAAGACTCCCTTGCCTTGGACAAAAGCAGCCTCAACAGCACAAGCTCACCCTGAGTGCTGGCTGAGTGCAGGATAGCAGATACTCCCCTACCTTCCCACCCACTGGTCCCCCTCCCAGGCAGCAGCCTGAGGAGCTCAGGCTCCCCTCCCTACCCCGCAGGGTCCCTGGGAAGCTCTGGCCCCACTGACCTCTGTGCTTGTCTCCAGCTGTTTGAGCGGACGTGCCGGCAGTACGACAAGCTGCGCAAGCGGGAGGCCTTCCTGGAGCAGTTCCGCAAGGAGGACATCTTCAAGGACAACTTTGATGAGCTGGACAACTCCCGGGAGATCGTGCAGCAGCTGATCGATGAGTACCACGCAGCCACACGCCCCGACTACATCTCCTGGGGCACGCAGGAGCAGTGAGTGCCCTGCCAGGGGACGGGAGGACCCCACGGCCACCTCCACGCACGCCGGCAGGGCTCACCTCTGCCGTGCCCACGTTCCGCACCCCTCGGCACCGCCCCGCCACGGTGGCGCCG